CAGCCCAACTTCAGAAGTCCTTATAAGCCAGGCGTGGTGGCACATGCCTTTAACCCTAGCACTCAGGAGGCAGAGGCAGGTAAATTGAGGTCATTTTGGTCTATGTAGTGAGTTCTAGGCCAGCTGGGGCTACAGGGAGACCCTGTCTCAAAACCAAACAACAACAACAACAACAACACAACACCAACAACAAGTCCTTATAGTTTGTAACAGTTTGAACACTGTTTGAAAGTTCAAAGTCTCTTCTGAGACTCAAGGCAGTCTCTTAACTGTGAGCCCCATAAAATTAGAAAACAAACAAAAAACCAAGCTACATACCTCCAATATACAATGGCCCAGAATAAACATTCCCATTCCCAAAGGGAGGAGTGGAAGCCTATCAAGGAATCATTGAACCAAATCAAGACCAACACCTAGCAGGGGAGACACCAAAGCCTCTACCCCCATGTCTGGCATCTGGACCTTGTGATGTAATCACCTGGATGCCAAGGGTTTTAGGTAACCTCCCATCTAGCTTTGTTTCCTCTTACATACACTGCCTCTGTCTTGAGCTGGCTCTGTCCCCAACAAGCAGCAACTCAAGGGAGGAAGGTTTATTTGGGCTTATGATTTGAGGGGATACAGCTCATCATGACAGGGCAGGCATGGTAGCAAGAGCAGGAGTATGCTAATCATGAGCATCAGCTGTCCGGAAGCAGAGCATGAGCAGGAAGTTGAACTAGGCTATCAAACCTAAAGGCCTGCCCCCAGGGATGCACTTCCTTTAGCAAAGCTCCACCATCTAAAGGTTCCACAGCCTTCCCAAACATCTCCATCAGCTGGGAACCAAATGTTCAGACACATGAGCCTCTGGAGTACATTTCACGTTCATACCACTGCATGGAGCAAAGCTTCCAACTGTGACAGGGAGATACCAGTAGAAAATGGTGCAGGTCAAGAAAGAGCTCTGTGAGAATAGATTGGAATTGGAGGAGTCTGAAAGAAAATATAATTTTTAAAGAATTCATGATTTCTAAAATGTGTTTGTTCACACACATTTTTCTTAGTACTTTTCTGCCGAAAGCTAAAGTTAAAGCTATTTCAGTAGCATTAAAAAGACCAAAAAAAAAAAAAAAAAAAGTTGCCTAGAATGAATAGTAATAATGTTTTCAATAAAAGAAAGCAGAGATTCTCAAAAGTGTCAGATCTTTGGTCTATGGTCAAGGCAATGCAGGTACAAGATGCCTTTATTACATCTTTTTTATTTGAGAAAGTAAAGGAATGCTAAATAAATTAATATTGAGGAAAGAAAGAAGGAAAAAAATTAAAAAGTGATGTCAAGAAGAGAACTTGAATGGTTTCATTGCTCAAACCATGGACACATTAAATATCAGCATAATTAAAGACAATAATGAACTTAACAAATTATGAACTATTAAAAATTAGAAATCAGTGAGTTCGTGCGTATAAATAGAGAAACAGATGGGCTCTTGCTTACAGAATAATGATAAGTTTTGATTGACAAGTGTGCAGAAATAATGGCATTAGAAAAGAATTTTGTAAACTTTGTAAACATGGTAAAGATAAAGGTTGAATTAGGTAAGAGCATTAATGTGTGCTAAACTAGGGACAAGTTTTGATGAAGACTGGAATATTTGCATATGTTAAAGTATATGCTCAGAGACTCAGCAATAGCAAGGGAAATACCGTTGCTATCTGGTGGAGAAATCATATTCTGGAGGATCACAGGCAATCTTACCAGTGATGGACAGAGGCCTTTGCACACCACATACAGACTTGCTTATGTTATGCTAGAACTGGAACTCAAGTTTGAGCTTCACACGGGAAACTTCAGAAAAATCCAACATGAGGATCATTTCATTTTTAAAAAATAGGGGTTTGGGGGGACTGGAGAGATGGCTCAGCCGTTAAGAGCACTGGCTGCTCTTACAGAGGACCTGGGTTTGATTCCCAGCACCCACATGGCAGCTAAGAGCCATCTATAATTGCAGTTCCAGGGGAACACAATGCCCTCTTCTGACCTTTATGGGTACTGCATGGCACGGGTGCACTTAGCCACATGCAGGCAATATACTCATACACATTAAAAAAATAATAAATGGGGGCTTTTATTTTTAAAATATCAGGGATTTGAAAAACAGTGAGTGACTGGAACTGGATCCAGACTGAAAGAGATGAAAGTGATGTGAGAAATAATGTATTAAAGGCTTCTGGACATCATCCTGTAGTAGAGAGAAAAGTGCTATAAACCACATTATTCATAAAAATAAGAACATGAACAGTCAACATAGATGTAGACATTGTGTCAGTGTTTCAGTTTTGATTTATTTTTATTAAAGTTACTATGTATTTTCATGTGGAAGTCACAATGTAGACATCTTGCTTACATTTTTCTTGGCTAAATACTTAGAGCAGAATTGCTGGTTTTTAAAGAAATTTACTGTGTTAATCAATGTTAGACTTCTCAGATTCCTGACTTTTCCTGCCCTTAGAAAATACACATTGAGGTACTAGGGGACATAATGTATGCAACTTTACTATTTCTGTAAGCTTTAAAAAAGTACATATATATCCATGTTGTATGTTTTTGTATATACACACACAGACACACACACACACACACGAGAGTCAGTGAATGATAACACAACTAGAATAAATTCAAGTAATTGTTAAATCTAGGGTATTTGTGGGGTTTGTCCTATTTTTGTAAGTTTTATACAATCCTAAAAGTAAATACCATAATAGGCCAAAATGGAGCATCTTCTTAACTCGAAAGATTGGTATTAGGCCAATCATCTGTCTGCACTGCTAAGCTATACTGCTGTGGTTCTGGTAGAGCTGGCTGTAGAGCTGTGCCAGGCTGCTTTTCTTCATTTCTGTGTCCCAAAAAAGCCTGAAATGGGAACAGATTGTTAAGTGAAGCTCTTTTCCTGGATCAGCAGTGAAATCTCCTTAGATGGAGTTGGAAGTCTATCTGCTTTATTCACATTCCTATCTTTAGTGAATCTAGTATATGATAATTATCAGACTCCATTTGCGATCTGTAAGCTTTAATTAAAGCAGTGCTATAAAGATGGGAATGGTTAGTGTAGTAAGGACAAGAAACCTAGGGGGATGCTAAATCCCAGTTATTTTTAGCCTTAAAGACTGAATGTTGTAGATCGAATTGAGAATTTCATAGTATGCAGAGGCAAGAGAAACAATTCTCTTTTTAACTTTTAACTTGGAGAAGTAGGCCTATTTTGCCCTAGAAAACTTTAGGTTTTTTCTGTCTTTTACAAATCATAGGCTGCAGTTTCCCTAGAGATCTTTAAATAGGAGGAAGTCTTCCTAAGGCATTTCTAATAATTTAAGTGTGTACTCTTCAGCCTCGAATGTGATCAGCACACTTACTTACCTTCCCCTGCAGAGTAATTTGTCAGACAGCTTCTTGAAGATTGATTCCAAATTAGGTGCTTAGAATGTTTTAACATTGGTGCTGAAAACAGCAGAGTGTCAAAGGATAGTGTTTTATGCTTACTCTGAAACTGCCAGTATTGTCAGAGGCCTTGACCTTCAGACATAAACCCGGTCTACAAACTTTTCTTTGAATACCAGCACTTGTAGAAAGGGTTTTTTTTTTTTCCTTCCCTACATTAAATGGGTTTTCCTCACTCTCAGCTATACAGCTAGAGTATTTTTGAAGGGAACATGAGCATGGATAGAAAGGGGATCCCTCTTGTACACCTGTACTTTGTTTCCTTATCACTACCCCTTTCCCCAGGCAGAGGGAAAGTGTCTGAGACACTTGTGTGCCTCATAATAACTTCACCATGGAAAGTCTTCCTGGTTAGGATTCACAGCAGTGCCTGTCATCGCCCACCTGGAGAGCCTGTGCTCATAGGCCACAGTCTCAGACATAGTGTAAAGCAAAGCCCATTAAAATTTTTAATTCAAACTTATTGACCATGCAACAGTTATCCTTATGGATTATTGATTAATGTTATAAGGAAAGCCAAGGCTTGATGATGGGTGACTTAGAAATCTCTATGCTGGAAGAAATAGGAGGAGTCTTTCCTAAGGCATTTCTAAATGGAATAATTTCTTAAAATACGGAAAACTTGCTTGTACGTTGACTTTAAAAAATGAATTTTTAGCCAGCCTTGGTGGTGCATGCTTTTAATCCTAGCACTTGGGAGGCAGGGGCAGGTGGAGCTCTGTGAGATAGAGGCCAGCTTGGTCTACATAGTAAGTCTTAGGCCAGCTGGGACTACAGAGAGACCCTGTCTCAAAAAGCCAAAGTTTTAAAAAAGTGATTTTTCGATTTGATTTTCTTGTGAACTTTTTTAATTTCACCTTATAGCAGCTGGACCTGCAGTCCTTGCTCTAACCATCCCTTTGTAAGCTACTGCTGTTGACACAAGACAAGGACAGGAGGGACCCAGAAGGTATTCAAGGGGTACATATGTATAGCTGGAGTCCTGGTAAGCCTCATTAAGGAAAACACCAGTGGAGCTGTGTGGTATAATCTGAGGCTTTGTAGGGAAACCATGCTCTCTTCTCATCCACTGGCCCCAGCCTGATAGGGAACCCCCAGCCCACTTGGCCTTTAGAAACTCCTTTTTAGCTACCAGTAAGGAAAACAACAACAGAACCCAAGTCTGTCTGAGAAGAGGGGAAGCCTGAGCTACACTCACTTGGAAGCAGCATGGCAGAAAGAGATTTACAGCAACCTGGCAACATTCACCTGCCACCCTGATCACCCAAGTGAGGCATCTAGGCCTGGCAGAGTTCAGACTGGAAGGGAGTAAGCCTCTGACTTCTCACCTTTTCTGATGTACAGTGTTCATATTGTAGGTGTCTTTTAAAATCCATTTATTCTATAAGTCACCTGAATTTCTCCTGTCATGACTCAGAGTGGCACTACACTGTATAAACAATAAGATTCAAGAGCCATAACATATTTATTCTGAAACTACATTGGAATTACATACTTGTTTGTGTTGTCTTTGGCCTCTCAGCATCTCCAGGCTCCAACACTTGCTCAGCTGCTATGACTCCCATGACCCCGTGTTTCTGGGTGAGCGCTACGGCTATGGCCTGGGCACTGGCGGCTACAGCTACATCACGGGAGGTGGCGGGTAAGAGTGAGCACAGTGGTTTGTAAATACAGTCATTTCTTGTCTCTCTGTGTATCTGTGAGGAAGGGGTGGGGTCTAGGACCCCCTGTGGGTGTTCAGGTTCCTCAGATAAAATGTGATATTGGCATGTAACCTGTGCGTACAATTCCTGCATATGTTAAATCATTTCCAGATTACCTATAATACACATTACAATGTAAATGCCATGGAATTACCTTTTTGAGATGGGATCTGGCTGTATAGCCTCAGCTGGCCTGAAACTCATGATCCTCCTCCTTCTGCCTCCAGATGATTGAATTATAATTGTGTGCCACCATGCCCAGCTAGAAATAGTTTTCATATTATGTTGTTTAAGGAATGATGAAAAGATAAAAGAATCAGGTATATCAGTCTGTCATCTGTATTTGAGTCCATGAATGTGGAATTCATGGAATCAGAAAACAAACTATATTTTGAACACTGAATTTTACTTTCTGCATAGCAAAAATGGGTCTGTGGTACTGGGATCTGTTTAGACATGTAAGCTCTTTAAACAGTAGTTGTTACTATAATAGGAAAGTGAACATTATATTTGAGAAACATGAAAAGAACTCACAGTAAAGAACATTTTATTTTTTGAAGAGATAAAATACATATCAAAGTACTTGGTACAATATCCCTATAATAATGATTACTTCTAGATAGCCAACTAGTTTTGATTGTTTAAAAGAAAAAAAGATAAACCATTAAACTTTTAAATTATCCAATGCTTAATAAATCACATTTGGAGAAAGAATAATTTGGAAGCTTAGACTTAGGCAATTAAATAATATTTGTGTAGGATTTATAGGATTTTTAAATAATAGCTAAAAATCAATGTTTTAAAATGAAGCACCTGCCTTAAGTCTTATGGGAAAATACTTTAATCTGATTTTTTATGGGTAAATGAATTGAGCAGTTAATCTTTTCTGTTATTACTACAGTTTTGGCTGTCAGAGTGCTAAGGAGAATGTTAACTTGTTATCAGCCATGGTCATTTAAATTCATTCAACAGATGTTTGTTGAATATTCATTATGTACCAAGCAGTATTTTAAAATATTTTGATTGATTCTTTGAGAATTGTATACAATGTATTTTAATTATAGTCAGACCTCCCCATCTCTTTTCAGATCTACCCTCCCCAACTTCATGTCTATTATTGTTGTTGTTGTTATTATTATTATTATTATTATTATTATTATTTTGGTCTTTGAGACAGGGTCTCTCTGAAGCCCCAGCTGACCTGGAACTCACTATGTTTACCAGACTGGCCTTGAACTCACAGAGATCCTCCTGCCTCTGCCTCTGGAGTGCTGGGATTAAAGGCGTTGCACCACTATACCTGGCTTCTATTATTTTTTTAAGACCTATGGAATCTAATTTGTGTTCTCCAAATGCTCTTGGGTGTGCATCCATTCACTGGGAGTCTGGTCAACCTACTCAGAATTACGCTCTTAAAGGAAACTAACTCTCCCTCTCCCAGCAGCTGTCAATTGCCAATAATTCCTCAGCTAAAACTAGGGATTCCCCCATCCATGTTGGGTTTTTGTTTGGCTTGAACTTGCATAGGTCTTGTATACTGTGGCTTCATATGTGTAACTGCCCTGTTTTATCCAGAATATATGGTTTTCTTGTATTTATCCACTACCTCTGGCTCTTGCAGTTTTTCTGCCCCCTCTTCGGAAATGATCCGTGAACCTTGGGAAGAGAGGATGTGATTATAAGTGTTCCATATGGACTGAGCATTCCACAGTTTCTTATTTTGTTGACTGGTTATGGGTCTCTGTGTTAATTGCCATCTGCTGAAAGAAGAACCTTCTCTGGTGAGAGCTGAGAGATGCACTAATCTATGAGTATGATAGGTCGTTAGAAGTTAGTTTAATAATATGTCCATTTATCAGAATAATAATAGTAGGTTCTCCCCTATAATCTGTGACCTGTCTAGACACAAGTACTTGACCCTGATATCACTGTCAGGTATTGGCTCCATCTTATGAAGTGGGCCTTAAATCCAATCAGAAAGTGGTTGGTTACGCCCATAACATTCATGCCACTAGTGCACCAGAGGACATATTTTGCTAGGCCAGTTGTTACTGTAGCTCTTAGGATTCACAGCTGGGTAAGACTGATGATTACTTTTCAGTAGAATGCATAGCACCTTCTAGTAATATGAAAGCTAGCCAGTAGAGATGAAGCTTTGAGGTCAAAACCAGTGTAAGTTCTCCATGTTTGTTCTGTGACTCACATAGGTAGTGTCTTCAGCAATAGAGCCTTATCATCAAGTTCTGGAGGGCAACCAAGAGCAATGATAGTAGCCAATATTGTTTTGGGGACCATTCCTGGCACTGGGCTTTTTATTTGCTAACCTGTCATTGTCTGGTAAGGACATTACAAATGAAATTCAAGTGCATGTCAAAAAGATCATAGACTGTGATCAAGTTAGCTTTATCTCAGAGATCCAGGGATGGTTCAACATACACAAATCTTAAAAATAACCCACCACATAGTAGCCTTGAGGACATAAACCGCATGATTATCTCATTAGGTACAGAAAAGGCCTTTGACAAAATCCACCATCCCTTTATGATATTGGAGAATCCAGGGATATAGGGGATATATCTCAGTATAATAAAGGCAATATACAACAAGTCCTCAGCCAACACCATGCTAAATGGAGAAAAACTCAAAGTATTTCCATTAAAATCAAGAACAAGATACGGATGCCCACTCTATCTATTCCTGTTCAGTACAGTGCCAGAAGTCTTAGCTAGAGTAATAAGACAAATGAAGGTGATAAAGGAGACACACATAGGTAAGGAAGAAGTCCTAGTATCCCTACTTACAGAACATATGATTTTACATATACAAGACCCCCCAGAGAATTCCTAGAGCTGATCAACACATTTAGCAAAGGAGTAGGATATAAAATTAACACACACAAATCTGTAGCCTTCCTGTATACCAGCAACAAACATACTGAGAAAGAAATCAGGAAAACAATCTCATTCAGTATTGTCTTGAAAAAAAAAAACCTTGAATAAATACAACCAAGGAAGTGAAAGATTTCTATAATTAAAAATTTAAGATATTGAAGAAATTAAAGAAGATACCAAAAGATAGAAAGACTTCCCATGCTCATGGATTGGTAAGATCAATATTGTGAGAATGACCATCCTACCCAAAGCAAGTTACAAATTTAAGGCAAGCCCTATTAAATTTCCAGCACAATTCTTGACAGAAAATGAAAAAATAAATCCCAAGCAGCATTATATACAGTGCTTATAAACTTCTGAAGGGCTAAGGCCTTATAGTTCTATTTTATAATACCCTGGTTTGGAATGATTCTGTCTTAGTCCATTTTTCTGCTACTATAACAAAATACTTGAGCCTGGAAAACTTTTAACACAAAGTGGCTTCTTTAGCTCACAGTTTTGGAAGTCCAAAAGCATGGCACTGACATCTCTCAGCCTTGGTGTTATCCCACTGGCTACATCATATCATGAAGGATGGTGTGTCAGGAACACATGCACAAAGGAGAAATCATTTTGAGACAGGAAGCAAGAGACATTGTTCTTTTATAATAACTCACACTTATGGGACAGGGTCCTATGAGAATGAACATTAATCCCTTCAGGGTGGTTTCCCCCAGCGACATAATCATCTTCCACCAAGCCCCACCTCTTAAACATTCCAGGACCTCTCAACATCACCACACTGAGGACTCAGCTTCCGGCTTGTGAATTTTTGAGGACACACATTCAAACTCTATCCAAACTGTAGCAGGTTCTTGCCACAGGGTCTCAGGGTCGTATTGCACATGCTGTGGTTTGGTCCAGCTGATTCAGTAGGGAGTATACTAGTTATGTTGTGCTAACCCAGTCTGAGCAGGGATGTGCTGATCTTGGTTACTCAATGCCATAGTAACAGGAGATGGGGTTGTAGGGAGGCCTTTGTAAGACTGAGCCCCATTGACCTCCTCATTACAAAAAGAACTCAAGCTATTTGTATCTTTCCAGAGACGCATCTAGCTTTCTGGCTGAGACATTGGGGCTGACCAAAGATCAGAGCACAGCAACCATTCCATCAGACTTTCCACTGTTAGAAGGGTCTGTAGATGAGTTTATATATTGTGTTGCACAGTAACATTCACATTCTTTTAACAAAGAAATGCCTTTTTGTGATTTCAGCCCAAGAAACAACTTGTCCTTTGTTCTTGTTTCATTTTTGTTGCTGTGATAAAACATACTGACCAAAACCAAGTTGGGCGCAGAAAGGATTTATTTTAGCTCATAATTCTGTGTCACATTGTCTGTCGTTTCCAGGAAGTCAAGGTGGGAACTCAGTTAGTCACATTAGATCTGCAGTCAAGAGCAGAGAGACTGAATTCATCTTCACTTGCTTGTACTTATGCTCAGCTAACTCTCTTCACTTTTATACAGTTCAGGGTCCAGCCTAGAGAATGGTGCCACCCACAATGGGCTGGGCTGGGCCAATTAACAATCAAGACAGTCCTCCTCAGTCATGCCCACAGGCCAGTCAGAGTTAGGCAGTCCTTCAATTGAGACTCCCTTCCCAGGTGATTCTAGGTTGTGCAAGTTAACATTTAAAACTCATCCTTGCAGCCTTCTTACTTATTGGGTTTACCTGTTATTTATGAAACTGACACTTGAGACTTTGTGAAACCTCACTTTATGTGGTCATCATTGCCTTCCACGGCTCTGGGCCAGTTCATTCATTCAGCTAGCCTCATGTGTGCCAGGCACTGGGAAAGCACACAGGAAAGCTCACACTGTCCCTTCCCTGCAGGAGCTCAATGGCAAATGCAGTGTGACATCACTGCTGATCCCTTCCATGCCTGAGATAGATTCTACCGGCCACCACTGGATAAAGAGTCCTTTATCTTCTGCTGTGCAACATGTACTTTGCTGTAGGGTACTTCTTATCACAGCTCCTTTTTCTGTTTTACAGTTGCTTCTTCCTT